GCTTTGACGACTTTTGAAGAGGCAGGACAGGCGAAGGCTCAGAACTGATGGATCATGGTCACACAAAATTGCGCCAAGGACTTATAAGCTCATATTAGCAATCACTGCGCCAAAATATTTCCTTTGATTTCTTGTTAGACTAATTTACGAATCCACTCTACTTTTTATCTGGCTCCTTGGAACTCAGCTCTTCTTTATTTGGACGAAGTCCCTCCTTACAACTTGTAGTCACTTTATAATAAATCTGATAGTTTATTTTCACTTTGTCTATAAATCCACCATTTTATGCATTCTTAAGAATTTTCGCAAAAGTCCTTTTATACTTTTGTATTTCTCTATAAACTCTCTTTTATTCACCATGATATAGCTTCATATTCACTACACCGATGACGCAAATCCTCTAAGTCGCAACGGTGGCATCGTAGAAAGTATCCAGTTGACGCCATCAACACCTAATATTAACGAGTGGTATTTCATTACAGTGGAAATCGAATTCCAACGCTCCCACGTCTTCTTCTTCTTGAGATCACAATACATGCGCTCACAATTTCTCAGTCTGCAGACCGACATCAACACCCTACACAGCATCCACTTCGGAGCTAGCCCACGTAAGAGCGCCAAGGCTTAAAGAGATGGCATAAAACTTTCAGACCCTATCGTCCAGACCTTTTGTTGTCCTCTGCTGTATGCCTTTTATTTGATCATTCAGTGCCTACAATATAGTACGCCTAGATTCGAATTACGGAATGTTAGATGGATACAAGTCGCATCGTTAATTTAATATCTTTGTAGGCCATGGGCACCCCAAAGCTTATGTAGATAGTCAAAAACTGTAACTCCAATAAAAAGCAAACTAGCAGCAGAAACCATTTGATGGTGGATTCTGGTTGTAATAATCGTTGATAATTTTTTTAATTTGCATTACTTTTTTAAACATCAAAATAGCTTTTGTTAAATTACATCTTTTTATAGATGTCGCTTTATTTTTCCTGTTTGAATATGATCAAGCTACTTTCTGATTTTATATATGAAGTGTATTCACCCTACTTCGTTACAAGTGATGAAAGGACTGTAAATCGAATTTTTTCCCATAATGCCATGAGTAGACCTTACATTTCCATTGAATTTCACATACCCTTGCTTTCCCAAAAGTTGTTTTCATTCAAGGTGGACTGCAATTTCGACCTCGCATAGGTCTTATCAACACCCCAAGCGGGAGTCCAACCATGAAAGTGCAGCGGGTAAACTCGACACGTTAGCCACTCCTCCACATTTCCACGACTGCCTCTGGGCCACATGGCAGGTGTGAATTTCGAGGAAGTTCAGGCATTTTCCATATCACGTTCTGTGTTGGGATTGTCGATGAAGCAAACTTATATTTGCTATAGCAATCGACGAAATTACTTTTTTCGTTAGTGAGTAAGTTTTGGAGCAAGACGCATATATCTAATTTACTGGTAGTATCCAAAACCTACATGCTAACAACAAAAGTAATGTCGTCGATTGCAATAAGTGATATAAGTTTGCTTCATCGACAATCCCAACACAGGATATGATATGGAAAATGCTTGACCTTCCTTGAAATTGACATCTGCCCTATGACCCAAGGGCACTCGTGGCAATGCGGCTGAGTGGTTGACGTGTCAAGCTCAATTCTGAACTGTCACGGTTTGGCTCCCGCTGGGGATGTTGATAAGGCTTATGCGAGTTCAAAACTGCAGTCCACTTCAGCCTGGATGAGAACAACTTTGGGAAAAGCAAGGCTGTGTGAAATTCAATGGAAACATCAGCTTTACTAATATCATTGTGTGAAAATTCTACTACCTTAAACGAAATAGGGTGAATACATCCCTTTTTAGCATACTTCCTTGCAAAACATGTAGATACCGAAAAACCTCAATCGCAATTTTTTTTCTATTCCCGACTTACCTGCGCTAGGGAGAAATGAATTTTTCTTATCAATGTTGTTTTGTAGCTATCAGGTGCCGGTTTTTGAAGGGGTGAGCAAATTCCAACGTGTTTCTTAGTTTACTGCTACCAACACTGTATCCTAGGAATTGAAGAGAATGCTTTTTTCATTAAATTTAAGCTCTTTTAACTTCAGTAGCATATCAGGTTTGCTAGAAAATAAACGATTGCCCTCAATACTGTAAATTGAGATTGGTTTTTCTTGCCTTAAAATTTATAGTTGTGCTCTATGATGTGTACATTATTGTGTATTTTGGGGTAATCTACACCTCTACAATTCGAATCCCCCTGTGACTGCTTATAAGGTATAAGACATGGAAGGATAATAGCTTTTTATGATACGTGGCAAAATAAAAACAGAATTAAAAAATCAAGTTTTCTTTTCAACTTCATAGCAATACAAGAATCAGTCGAAATCACTTAAAGATTTGGGAAAGAGCAGTCAAAGCTTATTGTTAGTATAACTACACTAGTTCGATGTTACTTTCTGAATGTTAATAAATTTTACATTAGATTTGGTACAAAAGTACTTTTCGTCCAAAGTTATGTAAAGTTTTCGATCCAGCCTAAATCGCGGTAAAGCGTTGATGCATCATATATTTTATGAATAATGGCCAATATATCTTTACTACAAAAGCGGACTATATTAGGAACTGTATTCGCTCTAAGTCGCATAAAGCGATGAAGGACTGATATTTAGATTTTCCCACAATTATGTGATTAGGCCTCAGGGTGTCATTGCATTTCACTTAGCCTAGCTTCTCTTTCAGAGTTGACTGCAGTTTCGATCTCACCTAGGTCTTATCAGTTGGGGTCACTGACGAGAGCTAGGCAAGGCTAAGTGAAATGCAATGACACTCTTAGGCCTAATCACATGATTGTGGGAAAATCTAAATATCAGTCCTTCATCATTTTATGCGACCTAGGGTGAATGCAGTTGATAGTTAGGATCTACTGATCATTTTCTAGCTTACTCTAAACTAATATGAATTATAAAAGACTTTTTTTCCCTGAAACTGGCGTGCGACTTGTGATTAAATGTACCCTGACGGTGTGGCAGAGTATCGCTACTTGACTCGCGTTTCCATTTTTTGTATATTGTTGTAATGATACTGACTATACAGTCTACACTGTATTGAAAATCTTTTACGAAACCAACTGGAATGATTTAAGAGAGTATTTAAAGCCTTCGTCTGATAAGTGAATGCTATAAATGTTGTTTTAAGGATAGGTCTACCGAGATTTTCGAATAATAATAAAATCTCACTCTAGCATCATCCTGCCTATATCACTATCTGATTTCTTCTATTCAGATATAACGCCTCCAATGCAGCGGGCAGCGGTCTATGGCATCATGGGAGATCCTTACTCTGGCTGCCTTCGTAACCTTCGACTAACCAGCATCGGAAGCAAACGAATCTCTGAGCCTGTTTTATTCCCGGCCACCTCAAATGTAGTCTATGGACTGTGTGCTATGAACTAAAATTGATTAACAATAAGCAACATTTATCCAGCTCCTAATTATAGGTCTCCTTTGACGATTATGAGCTGCTCTGCCCTAACTCTGTGTTTTTCTTTTCCTGTAATTAGCCGTTACTTTCCATTCTCATTCCTGTCTCCATTTTTTATATTCTTTTCAACTGCCTTTGCAGTCTTATTTGCTCAACGTCTCTAGGTGGTCCTATCAATATTTCATCACATTTAATTCTGAAATGGCTACGATTATTACTTTTATTGCTATTGCTAAAATATGAGTAACGTATTATTAGTATTATTATCATTAATATTATTGTTATATTTTCTATAGAGCTCTCTACATGCTATATTTGTATGAATTTCAATGTATGCTTTTTTCAAATTACTCTGGCTTACGCTGTTGACGAGCCTTTTTCCATCATCCTACTGTCAAGCATATTTAATGCTTTTATGATTTTTTTTATTATTATCACGAAAATACTATTACAATTATTATTCCTATCATTATTTCCATTTTTATTTATTTGAATGATATAATTAACTTACTGGTAATCATTAGACGGAGCTGATATATGGTTAGTTAAACTAGCACGAAGAAAAAAATTAGCATTTACTTTAGCAGGTTTTTATTTTATTTACTCTCTTCACTGCTTAATTATGACTTGCTTAAATTAATTTTTAACCATTAAATGTTATTGTGTCGGTTCAATCTTTTTTTCGCAACTTGGTTGGAGCGTCAGGCAGACCTTTTAGGACGTACCTGGTCCCATGTCCTCTGTCATCGTATTCGTGCTTTCCAGCATTCGACTATTGGCTAGGTACATTCACAAATGTTTCGCCGGTATCGTCAATGAGAGGCGCTATCGTAAGCACAGAGTTACAACTTATCAAAGTGGCCGGTAATAACTCAGAGTATTTAGGAAAGAGCATAGAGTCTGCCGCTGGTCCTCAAGGCTTGTCACTGATAAGTTGTGATTCTGCGCTTACCATGGCGCCTCTCACTGACGATGTCGGCGAAACGTTTGGGAATGTGCCCAGCTAATGGTCCAATGCTGGAAATCACGAATACTCTGGCAGAAGACACTGGACTATGTACGTTCCACAAGGTCTCTCTGACGCCCCGACCAGGTTGCAAAAACAAGGTCGAAACAACAGCATTATAAAGCTAAAGGAGACTGCAACCAAGGAGAAGGCCACATCATCTTGGTCTTCATATCTACGATTTAATTGTATTTTTTCACAATTATGCAAGACTTGTTCATACAACTAGACTTTTATCCTGACTATATAATGGAGAGGAGTTATTTTATTGAAAAGTTAATCTTCGTGTCTAGTGGATTAGATAAAAACCTTCGCTATGGAGCTTTACGCATTTCAGAATTCGTTATGCGCTTGAGTATTACCAAGGGTTTTGATTTTAGATACATGGGCGAACTCAATTCGAACTTAAGTTAG